AACGCGAGGCTCCGAGGGCCGGGCGCGCGCATGGTTGGCTCCGGGGACGGTCGCTACCTCATTTCTTCCCTCTGGAGGGTGTCCGACTCCACTCCCGCGATCCCCTCGCTACGCTGCCAGCCTTTGCAGCGCGCCCCCTCCGGTGCCGCGAGCGGTAGCCACCTCGCCAGCCTCACATCCTTGCTGTCCGAGAGGAAGATCTCGGGTAAATATAGGCCGGCGCGAACCATTCGCCGAGCGGGGATAGGGGAGGAGCGGAGAAGAGGATCCGTTTCAGGCTCCGACGCCCCACGGATTCTTGGTCTCTTAAAGAGATCAGATTGCAGCCACTGGTCTAGGGAAAGAGGAGACCGATTCAATCTGGCAAATACATCCCAAATTTACCAGCATCTCTTTTATCTACAGAAATCGCCAAGACCTGGGGTTACCCCGCGGGAAAAGCCACTTGAATTCTGACACTCCACCCCCAGGCTGAATTGCAACCTCACTGAATAAATGTATGTCTCTATCGAAACTTCTGGGGGAGGTGGTGGAAGGTGGGATTTAAACTATAATTTAATATGCAAAAAGGTTGGAGAAATAGTGATTCTTTCCGTGTGTGATAGCTTTCTGAGAATAACTGGGTGCTGTTTTTTTTTCTTTTTCAGAATTTTATTCTATTAAAGAAAATAAAGGAAGAGCAAACACACACCGAGACTTATCTTTCATTATCTTGGAGCCCTTTCTCCACAGGTAAAGAGCAGAAAGTGAAAAGAGAAATAAGTGGTAATAAGATGATTGGAGGGAACACTGTAGTATATAGTTGATTTTAAAAAGGTGCTTCCAACTCCGAACCCCCAGTAGTGTCCCCTTCTTGGGTCAGGTCTCAAGGTAGAGCAGTTTTCTGAGATGTATACAATTTCTAAGTAATGCTTGTGTGTGGTTAAAACTCAGTTTACTTCGCAAGCCAGTCATTCAATTTTATTACATCATTGTCACATTATGGATGAGAATTCCTAGTAAAAATTCAAATGACAGTTTTTTATTTGTGTCAAATACTGCCCAGCCACCCACTACTAGGAATGATTAGCACTAATCATTTTCTTCTCTTGTGTCAGCTGGACAATGTTGCTTTAATCATCTGACCAGCTTGACCTTTGGCTTGTTAACTCATTTCTGGGCTCTTGGAATAACTGGCTTGCCTCTGTGGTCTGCTCAGTCAAAGCAAAAACACTTCAAGCTGCAATGTGTGATATGTCCAGATGAGACCCTGCATCAAAGTCTCAGAGTCATGGGTGCTGAGTTTCAATTTAACTAACTTTCCTGCGTACCTTTGGGTACCAGGCCCTGAGCTGGGAGCAGACCCAATTCCTGTCTCCCAGAAGCTCCCATTCCAACGAAGGATGTAAACTCCACTCAATGCTGGGCTGCCACTGGAATGTAGATTCTATGAGAGCATCCTATATCCCCCAGGGCCTGATACAAATGGGCACTACTTAATTGTTGAATGAATGTATGAAATATGGATGTGAACAAGAAGACAGTGGCTAAATGCCCTGAGAAAGACCTAAAGTACTATGAGAAGCTGGAATAAAGGTTCTTTGTGACTAAGAAAATCAGAGAAGTTTCCACAGAAGTGGTGATGTTTGTAGAACCAAGAGGGTTTTGCCAAGCAGGGAAGAATTAAGGGGCTTTTCAGATATAGAGAAGAGAAAGATTATAAAACATAAAAATGGATGCAAATGTGCAGTTGAAGATGGCATTTAATGATTGTAACAATGAAATAAGAAAATTTCCTGATCAAACAAGGAAGTTTCCTGATCAACCTTTCCCCCCTCCTAGTCTCTGAAGTAAAGAATGTCCTTTTGATGGTTGGCTGGCCCCAGAGTGCCGTTAGACCAGAGCTATAATGCCTTACTCCTCAGCTGCTGATGGGTTAGTGGAGACACGGTATTGGAATGAGCTGACTAGGACTATAGTAGGCCATTTAAACTGAGGTTAATTCTTCTTCTGCTCACATTTCTGGAATATCTTGCAGTAGCAATGCAGTAGATGGCATATGCTCCAAACAAACAAACAAAATTTAATAAAAATCACATCAAATTAACCTGTGCTGTGACTTTTAGCTGGCCCATAATCTCGAAGTCTAAACTCTACAAAATTTGACGTCATGTTCAAGCAGTTAATATTTCCAAATTACTTGGAGGTCCAAGAGTCAGAAGGGTTTGGGGAGGAAGAAAGAGGAGGGACCAGGGATGGGAGCTAGGGCTGGTCTCAGCCTCTGCAAGAGGCAGTGCTTGGGCTTCATGCGGTGACGGGTGACAGGGAAACTAGTGGACCACAGCAGCAGGGAAGACTCCACTGGTAGGCCAGGCTTTTCAGAGGAGCGAGAGTGTCAGCCCCAGATGCACAGGCCCACAGAGCTGTTCCTGTGGACTGGTTTCTGCCATACCTGGACTACCTTCTTAATAAGACTTCTTTCAACCTGAGGAAGACAGAAGAGTTAAAGCAAATGTGAACACTCCAGTGTGGGAGTTACACTCTGTCTTTGTACTCAAAGACATGAGAATGGTGGCGGGAGAGGGGCGCGTACCAGGCTGTCTCCTGGAGTCCTGGGTCTGGGCCAGCCTCTGGGGCCCACCGCACCTTGTGGAGAAGCCGGTCACCCCCTTGGAAAGCACACGTTGCAGCTGAGGCTGCATTCTGTCAACTGGGAAAGCCGGCAGCACCACTGTGAGTCCAGACCACAGATCTGAGATCAGAGCAGTTCCAGAATAGACCTCAGTAAAGTCGGCTGGAAAGGGCTTAGAAACTGCATGGGACCGCAGACTGACTGCAGTTGTTTTTTATGACACTGCCCCATCTACTGGTGTCAGGCAGGAATGACACCTGTTGAGATGGTTTCTCGTACAACCAGATAAGCCAGCAGTTATATACAGTCAGGTCACAGCTGGAAAGAAACCCAGCGTCTAATGTAACATCTGAGAGTCAGCCTTTTAGCTCACAGGCAGCTTTCTTACTGGCTGTCTCCTAACTTATTTCTTGCATAATTCCCCCCCCTTGGCTCCCCTTCCCCCAACATCCTATTGAATGAACACTGGCTTCAGAGATGACAGATGTATCCAGGACCTTTAAAGTCATTCAACAAATATTTGTTGAGCGTCTACTGTGGATGTGATACAGTTGCTCGGGGATCCTGTACCAAAGAAGACAGACAGGTCTTTGCCCTCATGGGATTTCTATCCTATGGGGAGGCAGATAATAAGCAAACAAATAACTAATAAAAATCAGACAGTGATAAATCTCTAAAGAAAAGAAAGCAGTGTTAGGAGTGGAAAGTAGCCAATTTAGACAGCATAGCGAGGGACGGCATCTCCGAGCAGAAACCTGGATGAGATGAAGTCAGCCGGGCAAAGATATAACAGGAGAGCTTTCCAACCTGTGCCGGCCGACAGGCTAGTCACTGGCCACATGTGTCTAATGAGCACTTGAAATGGACTTGGTCCAAATTGAAATGTGATGCAAGCATGAAATCCATTCCGGATTTTAAAGACTTAGTAAAATTTAAAAAATGTAAAATATCTCAATAATTTTATGGTAAATTGAAAGATAATATTTTGGCTGTATTAAGTTAATAGAATATATTATTAAAATTAATTGTGTTTCCTTTTCTTTAATGTGGCTACTAAAACATTTCAGACTATACATATGGACAGCTTTGCACTAGGCAAAAGGCACAGCCAATGTGTAGGTCCCAAGGTGGGAATGCCTTCAGTGGATTTGAGGACTCCTTCTAGCCCTATTCTTTCCTGACTCCTATCAGTTATTCAACCTCCTCAAGACCTCCAGGATCTGCATCAGTATTCCTTACAGAGTAAGGAATTCCACCCCTAAATCAGAATTTCTGGAGTTGGGGGCTGGGAGTCTACATGCCTAAACTCCTCCATGATTGAACAGATACTAAAGGTAGAGGAGCCCTGCCCTAGCCCCTTCATTTTTCACACTATCAACTTCTCCCTAGCCTCTTACCCTTGCCCTCCTCCCCATCCAAGACCTTGTGGGTGAGCATCAGGTCCACAATTCCTGTGCACCGCATCCCCCTCATCCCTGGACCACTACCACAGTCTCTGTGCTCTGCTTCTGGAGCTGGACCACTGAGTAGAAGCCTTGACACACTCTGACCCCTCCTATGAGCAGCAGAATTATGACCCCCCAAAATACATTTATATCCTAATCCCAAGAACCTGTGAATATGTTATAGTACCTGGCAAAGGGGAAGGGAGGTTGTAGATGGGATTAAGTTTGCTAACCAGCTGACCTTGAGAAGGGAGAATCTCCTGAATTATCCAGATGGGCTTGATGTAATCACCAGGGTCCTTAAAAGTGAACATGAAGACCTCAAAAACATCACGCTTAAGAGAAAGAGGTAAGACACAAAAGGTCACATACTGTATTAGTCCATGTATATGAACCACCTGAAACGGGTGAATCTATAATGACAGAACACAGGTTGCTGGTTTCCAGGGGCTGGAGGGTTGGAGGAAGAGGGAGCAAGTCCTTAATGGGTATGGGCTTTCCTTCTGGGGTGATGAAAAGGTTTTGGAACTAGATGGAGATGGTGGTTTCACGATATTGTAAACATACTAAATACCACTCAATTGCTCTCTTTAACAAGGTTACTTTTACGTTATACAAATCTCACATCAAATTTTTTGTTAATGAAAAGAGGCAGAAGAGAGGGTCAGAGTGGTATAATGTGAGACGAACTCCACTCTCCCTTGCTGACTTTGAAGATGGAGGAAGGGGCCACGGGCGAAAGGATACCGGCAGCCTCCAGAAGCTGGGAAAGGCACAGACAAATTCTCCCCTGGAATTTCTAAACAAATAGACCCTACCAACACCTTGATTTTAGCTCAGTCGGTCCTGTGGTGGACTTCTAACCTCTAAATTGTAAATTTATGTTGCTTTAAGTCAAGTTTGTGATAATTTGTTACAGCAGGAATACACCTTCCATCCAGCTGTCTGTCCCTCTGCCACTCCCCTCGATGAGCACCCTGAATCCTCACCACTTCCCAAAGCCACCCACTCCCCATCAGAGCCAAGCAGAGGACCTGGTGTTCCCTAAAAAACAACAACAACAACAACAACAACAACAAGAAAAAAACTGAGGTAGTTAGAAAACCATTAACTGGATGCCAACCCCAATGAACCCAGTCACTTAGCCACATCAACACCCATTCCCACCTCTTTCCTCCGGGCTCAAAAGTCTCTCTCTGCCTGCCCCCCTCAAATCCATTCTCCACACTGTTACCAAACCACAGAGCTGACCTTGTACTTCTTCCCATTGTAACCACATTGTGGCTTCCCATCAACCACAGGTTACAGCCCCAGCTTTGAGTACAACACATGAGATTGTCCAAGTCTGACGCCTGTCCACCTCTGCAGCCTCCCTAGTCACCTCTCCTGGCCTCATCATTTATGCTCCAGCGATAGCCTGTGCTCCTCCTATGCTCGTGAGACTTTCTTGTCTTCTTGTGGTTTTGTATGTGGTTCCATCTAACTGGAATGGCCTCCTCCTGCCATGTCCCTTGGCTGACGCTGACTCATTTTTAAAGAGCCAGCTCGGGTACCATCTTCTCCAGGAACATGTTCCAAGATCTCTTACTCTTCTCCATTGCTCCTGTGTGCATCTCCACCTCAGCGCTGTCTTTAACTCTCTGACTCCCTCACTAGACTCTGAGCAGTGGTTTTATTTAACTCATCTTTCCATCCTCAGCTCCTAGCACAAGGCCGGCCACTCCATCAGTATACAATAAATGTTTGTGAGATGGTTGTTAACCGTATGTCTGTTTTCATATATGCACAGACCGGCAGACCTGGAAGGGCCCTTCAGGATATCTAGTCAACCCCTCAGTTTTACAGACAGGAAGTTGAAGCCCTCTGAGTACACTCACTTTCTATACATTTACTTACGGGCCAAGCCAAGATTAGATTCCATGGGGCCTGACTCTCAATTCAGGCATTTTCCTTCAGCTAAACATAAAGACGAAGGCTTTGCAACACATGACTGTGTGGAACACACATTTTATGTTCTCTCCCTTCAGTGAAATGCTGTGTTTAGGGGCTCAGGGGTTCATTGGGTAGACTGGGCAGAAGCTGCCCTCATCAATCAAACATACGTCTCCTGGTGAGCTGCCGCTCACTGGGCCCCTTGATGAAAAGTCCACTTGTATTGGCTTTCATGCCACCAAAGAGGTTAAAGGCAAGTGTGACTGTCATGGGATCTACATGGTGGGATTTTGGTCTCCCTAGTGGTGGAGAGCTCACCCAGGTCCACAAGAGTCTGGTGGCCCACTAGGCTTCTCTGCTCTACCCAGGAAACCTCGACCTCCCTGGGGTTTTCACTCCCAAAACAAGGAGAGCTGTGACAGTTCTTATTTCTCAGGAAATCGTATAAAGAAGCACAAGTAAAGTCAAAAGTGTGTGGTAATTACTTAGAGATTTTCAAATGGAGGGTAGAGAGGATATGACACAATGTGCGTTTCAGTTTGTCTCTTGGTTTTGAACTTCTCTGTGGGCACCTGGGCCTGACAAATCTTTAGCTAGGCTGTGCAAAGAGCTGGCAAAGTATCTGCTGTTCAATCACACACTTTAACTGCGCTGGCCTCTCCCCACTGAGTGCTGGGTGGATGCACATGGTCTCACCCTCCAGGAGGTATAATCCAGTATTCATTGCTTCAGAGGAAGTGCTTCTGGTCTGCTGGAGGGGGTGAAACATAGGTCTAAATGGGTTTGATCTGAGATAGGGGAGGCTGAGCTTAACAAAGTGTTCTGGGGCCTCAGAGGGAAAAAGACGTTCTAGCTGAACAGGGCAAGACCAGGGACCACTTCCTGGAGGGGGTGGGCTTCAGGCTTTACTGATTGAACCTGGTGGGGGTGTATAGCTCAGTGGCAGAGCCCATGCTCAGCATACATGAGGTCCTGGGTTCAATCCCCAGTAAGACAAAAATGTTTTTTAAAAAGACACTAAAAATATAATTTTTTTAAAAGAGCCTAAAATCAAGACTCTTCAGTTTCTCCCTATTTGTTCTCGTTCAGCTTGCCTTGTGTCTACTCAGAACAATCTTCTCTCCTGTCCCCATGGCAGTCTTTCACATAAATAGAAACGGCCCTCCACACCTTCTCCTGAGACTAGTCACACTTCCTTCACCTTTTCCTCATTCCCTCACCATCCAAGTTGAAATGCTAACATCATTAATGCATTTATTAGAGTGATTTAAGGGGAGGGGCCACAGTTAAGAGGCAAAAAGTAAAGTCCCAGTGGTCAGAAGGCCCTCCCAGTGGGTTAGAGTCTAACTGGCCGTGTTGTTCACGGCTCCAGCACTGCCTTGAGCCATTCAGCCTTGAACAAATCCCTTTGCAGGACGATCGATCACTCACTCAGGGGGCAGCGACTCTGTCCAATGCTGAATCCCCAGAGCCAAGCGATGAATGAATGAATGAGAAAAACCTGGCACTTTCCATCTGCAGATTTCAGAGCTGGTGATTGTTAATTCTCCTTGAAGCCTTCTTTTCTTCCCTGAACTTTATTAGGTCTCAATTTCTGCAACTGAATATTCAGAAAAGTAACAGTGCCCTTTCTCACTTGCCTGTTGTGAGGGAAAAAAATAATTTCAAAGTCATCTGTGAATAAAAGACCCCAGATATCCCACAAATAACTACAAAAGTTGGGCAGGAATGCGTAGGTTCAGACACAGCATATGTAGGATCCTGTAGCCTCTACACCAAACAAGATGTCCTTGACACGTTTCGTTGCCCACGCAATAACTTACACAAGCAAGCAAGCAAGCAACCAATGTTTGATTGAAGTGACTCAAATTAATCATTTATGATCACCACAAAGAAAGGGCTGCTGAACTGCTGAAACTCGCTTACATGTGCACATCCACCCGCTTCAACAGGGATAAACTGAGAATCGCAGATAATCAAAGGGAATTTCCCCACTGATTCAGTGACTCTGCAGAGACTGCCAGACTTCCATTTTCACAACTCTCAGCCTTGTGCAAACTGCTTTAATGTGGAAGAAGGTGGTGTAGAAAATGGGAGAGAGGGAGGGGCAGGGCTGCAAGCTTACCTTGGAACAATTTTTCTGCCACCCGACACATTGTTGGCCAAGGAGTGAAAAGAAAACCAAAACAGAAACCCACCCACTGACTGTTCTCCCTCCCCAGAGAGACGTGGGGCCCATAGGCACAGCAGTGTGGAGTTGGAGAGCAGAAAACTACTGAAGATTCTTTCCTGGGTGTGGGTTTTTGGGGCTTGAAAAACCATTTGTTGAATCACAGTAAATCAAGTATCATGCAACATCATGAATGAGGAACACTCTGTGTTGCTATTTGGAAGCTGAATATGAGGCTTCCAATCCCCAAATCAGTGCAACCTCCTCCAGCGGTCAGCTATTCAGAGAATCTTGGCTCCAATAGAAGGTCTCATCTATGTGGGGAATCAGGAGGACCTGAC